TCGTCCAGGCGGGTCTTGAATATCTCTAGAGAAGGAGACTCCACAAACTCCCTGGGCAGCCTGTTCCAGTGCTCTGTCACCCTCAGAGGGAAGAAGTTCTTCCTCATCTTCAGACGGAACTTCCTGTGCCTCAGTTTGTGCCCATTGCCCCTTGTCCTGTCACTGGGCACCACTGAAAAGAGCTTGGCCCCATCCTCCTGACACCCACCCTTCAGATCTTTATAAGCATTTATTAGGTCCCCTCTCAGCCTTCTCTTCTCCAGGCTGAACAAGCCCAGTTCCCTCAGTCTCTCCTCGTAGGGGAGATGTTCCAGTCCCCTCATCATCCTATACCTCAGAGCCTCATCAAGTTTCTGAGATGGCTCCATCCAAACTCTGCTGCAGTCTTGGGGCTGAATGGCCACCTTTGCAGCAGTATCTGGTGGACTGGAGCACTGGGCCATACTGCTCCAGACAGTGTAGCTGTTTGCATGCTTCTTGGCATAGGTTTGGCCCGTGCTAAGTAACACTCTGCCAAATTATACATTGGCAGGGTCTGGGCAATGGTGGAGGCCAGGAACCATTGCTGGTAGCCAGGACTGGTGAGATTGCTGTTTACTGGAAGAGAAGAGAATGAGCATCATGGACATGACTGGGCAATGCTGTTCCCCCACCGGGTCAGCAAACAGGCCCTGAGGAGTTGCTCTGGAGAAGTATAACCAGCGTGGCCCCTTGGGTTGCTCTGGGATAACCTGGAGGACATCCCTCTCCAGATGGAGTGGAAATTCCACTGTGGCAGTGGTGGCAGGGCCAGCTGAGCTGCCACAAAGCACGGTTATGGCAGCGTTCAGGGCACTTGGTGCCATCCCATACTTATGCTAGAAACCTTGGGTGCTCCTAGTGCAGAAGAGATCACAGCTGTGATCAGCCTTCCCATGTGCACCGGAGACTACCTCAGAGGAGGACACATGGGTGTTAACAAGGGAGGGGAGATCTGGAAAAAGCCATGCAGCCCTGGACCCAACCGGCGAGACTGGGACATTATGGGGTGCTCTGTAGTTCTCCCTCTGCCCCTGCACCCAGATTTCCTTCTGTGGTGCCTGGGTGGGATGGGACGTGGCAGAGACGTGGCTGTGATTTTAACACGGGATACAACACCACATCCCTGTTCCCAGCGTGGATGCAGCCGGGGCTTGTGGAGCTTCAGTGGTGTTTTCCAGCAAAACATCTTGCACTGCAGGTTTGTCCGTTCTTGGTATCGGGTTTAAGCTGGCAGTTGACTCTTCAGTGATGGAAATGAGTGCTGGAGCCAGCTGAAAGCCAGAAAATGGGTAGAAAGGAGGAATCCTCTGCAGCTGGAGGGTAATGTGGAGCTGCTCGAAATGCAGGCTTTGCATTCCTTGCTCTGAATAAGGATGAGACCCAAACCCACACCTCCTCCTTGGCTGGTCTACCAGAGTTTACTGTCTTTCCTTTTTACAGTATTACTTTGGTTTTGTTTTTTTGGTGATGCAATCTGAGACCAAAAGCAGTTAAGAAATGCTATAAAAAAGGCTTTAGGAAGGCGATAACCAAAACTTATGCAGCAATTCCAGATGGTGTGATTCATTTTACGAAGTTTCTTTAAGCCTGGAGATTTCCACCCAAAATCTCCCAGTTTAAGAACTGCGAAAGCTTGATGCTAAGGGATACCCTCAATTTCATCTTTGTGAAGTCTCCTTCTCTGGAGATATTCAAGACCCGCCTGAACAAGGTCCTCTACAGCCTACTGTATGTAACCCTGCTTCGGCAGGGGGGTTGGACTAGATGACCCACAGAGGTCCCTTCACCATTCTGTGATTCTGTGATTCTGTGATTCTGTGATCCCACGAGCTGCCAAACACCCCATGCCGCACTCAGTTATAAATCTCAGGCGCAGAGATCAGACCTTCCGTGGACAGGATTTCGCCGCCAGCCGGGACGCTCGGCAGCGTTGGTCGCAGGCAGCGGTTGCTATGGTTGTGCAGATGCATCCCCGGAGAAGCCGAGCGCCGGGCGAGGGGCTCATTCGTTCTCCACGGGGCGCGGGGTGAGTGTGACAGCTCGACCCCGGTGCTGGCAGGGAGCTCTGCTGCAGCGTCTCTGGCAACAGGCAGGAATCGTCCGCGCAGCCGGTTTTCTGGAGGATGCTGCTGGCCAGGGCATGGGGACAAAAGGTGCCACTTGCTTCAGACGTTGACAGTGCTGGAAAGAGAGTGCACGGTGCATGGGTGGGACGCAGGGCACAGAGCAGAGAGCCCATGGCCTGCCCACTGCAGGATCCTCCCCGCTGCGAGAGTTAGATTAGATATAACGAAGAAATTCTTCACTTTGGGGAAGGTGAGGCTCTGGCACAGGTTGCCCAGAGAAGCTGTGGCTGCCCCCTCCCTGGCAGTGTTCAAGGCCAGGTTGGACGAGGCTTTGAGAAACCTGATCTGGTGGAAGAGGTCCTTGCCCATGGCAGGGGGGCGGAACTGGATGATCCATAAAGTCCCTTCCAACCCAAACCATTCTGATTTCATGATTCTATCCCAGTACTGACCAGTGCCCCCTCCTGACGCAGTGGAGCCAGGCTTCTGCAGGGCACCGAAATCAGCAGGCTGGTGCCCAAACCAGCTGCACCACTTCCCACTGCCTCTCTCATTCCTGGTCTCCATGGACTTCCGTCTGAACATGAGGAAGAACTTCTTCACTCTGAGGGTGACGGAGCCCTGGAACAGGGTGCCCAGAGAGGTGGTGGAGTCTCCTTCTCTAGAGATAGTCAAGACCTGGCTGGACAAGGTCCTGTGCAGCCTGCTCTGGTTGACCCTGCTTCGGCAGGGGGGTTGGACTAGATGACCCACAGAGGTCCCTTCCAACTCCGAACATTCTGTGATTCTGTGATTCTGTGACTTGGGCACAGGCATCCATCCAGACACTCCATGCAGAAGCATTAGTGTAGGGCTGAACGCATGCAAACAAACCCAGCACGGTGGCAGGAGACTCGTGCATGCCACCCCTGTGGATCCAACGTATGACACCCAGTCTTTGAACCCTATCAATCAGCAAGGTTGGCACGAGGTGCCAGTGTGAGTCAGGGTCCCCGGACAGCTGAGCGTAGTCCATAGCCTGGCTGCCAGTCTTGGCTGTGCTGAGGGGTTCAGTATCTGTGCAGGCTGTCACTGCCAGGGACTCCAGGCTGGTACTGGGGACCTCAGCAATGTGCATCTCGTAAACCCTCCTGACAACTGCAGTATGAGTTTGACTCACTCTGGGGCTGCTGCGATGCCAGAAATCCATTGCCAAAGGTTGCTGATTTTCCCGTTTCAGGTTGAATGAGCAAATGCTGGGTTAGGAACAATGCTGGGCCCAGCAGCACTTTGATGGGTCATGGTTCCTGTTTTGACTTGACTAGAAAAGTCCTCCATGTGCTTCTGGCCTGTGGCTCACTTGGAGCCCGTGGCATATACATGAGTGTTTTCTGTGATATGCCCATGTTTTCATCCAGGGAGGGACTTGCAGCTTGCAAGAAAACTGCTTACCACAGGATACCCACCACCCAACACTTCATTTTTGCTCTGAGGTGCTTTGAGGATCCCAGGCCAGGAAACTACTTGGCCGTTGAGGGTATCCAAGAAAGACATCACATCCACATGCATGTGCCTTCTCTTTGTGAACTTCTGTGCAGCCATAGAGATGTGAGATGCTGGGTCCTGGATCATGAAGATCTTCTTCAGAAGCACCTGGTCAACAGGCTGGGTGCAGACCTTGGTGGCCCTGCAGTTCAGAAACATCCTAGAACTGCTTCACGGAGAGCCACACATCACCACGGACAACCACAGACAAACTTCCCAGCATCTGGCCTGAACAGAAGGTGTAAGATTTAGGGTCTGTATGGAGTTTCCTTCTTGTCAAGAGCCCTTTGGTTTTGATTTTAAGTTGAAGGGATCTCTCATCACTTTCCATGGCAGACAGTGCAACAGCTAATTGCAGTCCAGCCTAGGACTATCTGGCCATTCTCAGGTAACTGAACTGATGTGAGTACAAAGACACGCATGACGCTCTTAGACCTCCCCGTGCAACCCATGGTGATGTTTGCCTTGATAAGGTTTTGTGTGAGGGCTTAAGCTGTTTCATAACAATTTAGCATGTGCAGTTGGGCTACCTTACGAGAGTCCAGACCTACAGAGGGAGGAGATGAGGATCAGCTCTGTTTGTCACCACACCCCCAAACCTGCCTGTTCCTCCTGAGCATGCAGCTATGGCTTGGGACATTGCAGCCTGAGGCTGGGAATCAAGAGGATTATGGGGGCAGAAAGGTGGAAGGTAGATATTGTAGTGATGCTGTGGCTGAGTGCTAAAGATAATTCTCCCCTGCTTTCCCTTAATGCTGCAAAGGCAGCGAGGCAGAGCCATGTTATAATTGTATCTCATTGCCATTTGTGTGCCTGATGCTCCTGCAGTCCCCATCCTCACCAGAGAGCCTGGTCTCATGGAGAGCTTGACCAAGATGGAGGTTGGAACTAGATGGTCTTTAAGCTCCCTTTCAGCCCAGAACATTCTAGGCTTCTAAGCTGGAGAGCTTGTCTAGCTTTGCAGAGCCCTGGAAGCTGGTGAGGTTCAAGGAAGGTTTTCTAATGAACTGGGGGCTTGCAGGTTTCCTCCCGTCCCCATCATGACGCAGACTGCCATCTCCTCCAGTGGCATTTCTGAGACCTGACAGCTCTTTGCGGATTGCTTTGTGAGCACAGCAGGTTGTACGTAGGCTGGAGTTTGGCCCCAGAAGTGAGATATCTGCTGAGGTTCCCTGGCCAAGAGCCTAATGCCGTGTTCGTCATATCCTTTGAAGTGTGCCTGGAAGGTAGCCCAGAAAATGACAGTTGTTTGTAGGAAAGCAGATGCTGAGGGAAACATGGCTGTCATCTGGGCAGCTCTGAAGTGGTCCCCGATCCAGGGAGGGACAGGCAAGAAACTTGTGGTTTTCCTCATTCTCCTCTTTCAAGGAAAGAAAGCAATGATTACGGGGAACAGCCTCACAACAAGCAAATATTCCTGCCTGTCACCCATCACTTCTGCCTTGATCTGCAGAAAAGAAGCAGAAGGGGTAAACAGGTGGCTTTAGGTTGTCCTTGCTGCTCTGCCTCTGGGAGATGACCCATGGAGGAAGGGGAGTGCGTGTTCCCCTCCAGGGTGGATTCAGGAAAGACTCAGGATAGAGCAGGTTCTCCTCTCCTTCTCCTCTGCCCTAGTGAGGCCCCATCTGGAGTACTCTGTCCAGTTCTGGTCTCCCCAGTTCAAGAAAGATGAGGAACTACTGGAGAGAGTCCAGCGGAGGGCTACGAGGGTGATGAGGGGACTGGAGCAGCTGTCCTATGAGGAAAGGTTGAGGGAGCTGGGCTTGTTTAGCCTGAAGAAGAGAAGGCTGAGAGGGGACCTTAGAAATGCTTACAAATATCTGCAGGGTGGGTGTCAGGAGGACGGGGCCAAACTCTTTTCAGTGGTGCCCAGCGACAGCACAAGGGGCAACGGGTACAAACTGAAGCAGAGGAAGTTCCGTCTGAACACGAGGAAGAACTTCTTCCCTCTGAGGGTGACGGAGCCCTGGCCCAGGCTGCCCAGGGAGGTTGTGGAGTCTGGACAAAGTCCTGTGCAGCCTGCTGTAGGTGACCCTGCTTTGACAGGGGGGTTGGACTAGATCATCTCCAGAGATCCCTTCCAACCCCTACCATTCTGTCATTCTGTGTGATTTGCAGAAATAGAAATAGATCTTGGCTCCTGGTGCACATTCCTTCCCTCTAGTCCTTAGCTCAAATGGATGCAGGATTTGGCCCCTTCTTGGGTGGGATGTTATTTTTCAGCAGCTTGGAGAACCAGGAGACTCTAAGATGTGAAGAGTCATCTGTGTAATCTAAAAGAGGCCAGGCTGGTGCTGGTGAAGGGACCCTGGAGCCAGGCTGAAGAGCATGAAGCCTTGGGCAGCAGGGCTCGTGGTGGACCCAGCCTGGGGGACCTGACATGGCTTTCAGGAAGCAGCAATACAGCTCTGTGGCAAATATCTTGCCACTGGTGGTCCAGAAAGTCTTGGTGCCTAACCCATGGGATCGCACTGCCTCTGCTATGTTTTAACTCCGGAGTCTGAGGACATGACACGCAGAATTCTGCAGGAAAGTTGGAAGGGGGACAGCAATCTCCCTTGTTCCAAGCAGCTATGGTGACTCCCACTCACACATGGTGTGCCCCCTGCTCACCAAAATACAGCCCATAAATAGTCTTGTGTCTGCCTCAGGCTGGGATTGGTTCGGATGCAGGCAGTAGGATTTAACTTTCCATTTTCTGGAACTTTCCTGTCTCTTTGGCCCCATCCACAGCAACTTTCAGACTGAGGGTCCATTCTGGGACAGGAATGGGCTCCTTTCCCACAGCAGCCAGGACATTGTAAGATTTTACAAGCACAAGAAAATAAAAATTTTAAGATTGAGTGAAGGTCACTGTGTGCAAATTCTGCCCTGCAAAAAATAGAGTTGAACTGCAAATGAACCGAGGGAGAAATTAATAATTATATAATTGCACGATAAAGTCTCACTTGGATGATGAGTGCATGGATTTGGACCGGAACAACTCCTTCATTTTGCAGAATGGACTTTGAGCTTTGCACGGTATGATAAAAAGAGAATTAGGCTTTGCACAGTTTGGTGGTAGACATGATGACCTGGCTCCCAGGTGCAGTAAAATTGCAACCTCCACGTTGTTCCTCAGGCAGCGTTTATGTCGTGTGGACCCTGGAGCTGTGTTTCACGCTGGATGCTCTTCCTCGAGAGCTGTAAAGACTGTGTCTGTGGCACTTGAGTGGTGCCAGGGATGAGGAGTGGTTTGTTCTGACCTGGAGGATGCCTTGCAGGTTAGACCTGTTGTTCTGCAGAGAGCTGCATCCCCATGCGCTGTATTAGTGCCCACCTGGGCACCTGCCTTGCTTTTCTCTTCAGATGCTGCTCGATTCAGTGTCTCTACCTGTATGAGGACATAAGATCTTATTTTTAAGGAGGTTTAGGATCACACTAAATTATTGGGTTTTTCTTCCCCACAGAGGAATTATCAGTACCATCATGCCAGTGTTTTGAAAAAGGGTCAGGGATTTGTTTTTACAGTCTAAGCTTTAGGATCAAGGTGACTTGTCATAAAAAACCCCTACAATCCAGACCTACTTATTTATCCTTACACTTATTTCTCCTTTCTACTTTCTCCTTTCTATTTGCTGTGAAAGCAAACTGGAGGTATGAGGAGGTCTCAGATGAGAGCATCGTGTACCTCTCCTTTGACAGGCCATAGCTGAGATGAGATGGAGAGGGCAGGTGCCAGATGACTCTCAAAGATGACAATCTAGATCTCAGAGGATGAGGGCATGGATGCATTTATCTCACAGCTGAAGCTGAACAGGGCATCTCCATCCTCATGTCCTTCAGCCCAAGGTGCCAGATCTGTGATGAAGACTCAGAGAAGAACAAAAATATATAGCCTACCACACACGATGCAACCCGTGAGCTGCAGAAGGCAAAGGGCTTGGGTGGATGGGGTTTTTTTTTAGCTCAGTCTCCCCTTCCCAGACAGCACCAAGGCTTCCAGAGGGACAGATGGAGAGGACACAGCTCTTCCCAGGAACTTTTTAGGGCATCTGCTTTACCATGTGGCAGCTTGGTGACCATCAGCGCTTCCCAGTCTCTGCAGACAGACAGCGTTGGGCTTGGGTGGGATTTGATGTGCCAAGTGATGCTTGTTTGCATGCAGACTTTTCTTCTCTTGTTCCTGTGACAAAACGCAGGGCATGATGGAGGTGGGAGGTAGAGGACAAAGCTGAGCACTGACTGGAAGCAACTCGGAAAACTCTTTAATGACTTGGGAAAGTCCCAAGTCATTAATGTCTTAGGGAATGAAATAAAGCATTCTCTTAAAATCTGTGATGAGTTGAAAGGACTGAAATTCCTGTAGAGGCCAAGGTTAGAGTTGAGAGTGAACCTGAGAAGTGGAGACAAAGGTCCAAAATCAATAAGAAAAAAAATCAATAAAGAGTAAAATCTTGTATGTGGGAAGACAAAAAATTAAAAATCCAAGACACAATTAAAATGGAGAGTTGATAGCTCAGCACAAAGCTGTTTGGGACTGTACAGACAGGGCATAGTGCCTCACTTTTCTGCCATTGCAAAATGCCAAGTGTCATCAGGTGGTATTAACAGGAATTTTGGGGTAAAACAGGGGCATTATCGTTGCAGAGGTCAGACTGACTCCACAGAAAAATCAGACAGCAAAGGGACAGAGATCTGATCCACAAGGACCCTCTGGATGCAGTGAGGTCCATCTGTCTTGTAGCCTTTGAAGAAGTAGATGGTTGCTGCCAAGGCAGCGCTTGGGTGGTCTCCAGGTTCCTGGGGCAGATAGGAAAGAAACCACCGCTTTGCGTTAAAGGTGCCTTCACACTGACAAAATAAGTCAGCAGCAAGCCCAGTGAAGGCTAGGGCTCCACGCCAGGTCCAAACAGACTGAGTCCCTTCAAGTGATTCCTGAAGTTCTCCTTGAAGTGATCACTCGATCCTACCCTTTACATGATGCCTTCAATCATTCTTCTCCCAACGCCCAGCTAACCCAACTGCCAACTCACTGCCTGGCTTTTCTCTCAGCACAGTGCTGCGCAGCTGTCTTCATCGCCCTCTTCTTCACCCGTTTTTGGCTGGTCAGTGCCCTCTACGCTGCATGGTGGTTCATAGACAGGGAAAAACCCAGCAAGGGTGGGAGGCGGATCCACGCCGTCCGGAACAGCATCGTCTGGAGGTACATGAGGGACTATTTCCCCGTCACGGTAAGTGTCATTGATCCCATGGGCTATTTAGGAGATTCAGGGACCAACTTTGTCCTTGGTGCCTGGAGGCAGGTCTGGGGCCAGCAGTCATGGCATGGGGTGCTCAGAGGTCAGCGCTGAAGGATTTTCTTCCCAGCTCCCAGATTACTGCAAGACCCAGAAAAAATGTAGACCACCATTTTCACAACCACATCCTGTAATTGACTACCTTTTATGCACCCATTTAACCTCTCTGCATTCCAGCAGTTAGGGAAATCTCTACTTGCCTGTTTTCCATGTCTACATGGTGACACTCCTGCTCTTCGGGTTGCTCAGCATTTAATCAGTGGACACAGGGCCAAGTTTTGGCCAAAATTCAAGAGATCCTGGTGACCTACAAGGTCAGCATCCCCTTCTGCTGGGGAAGAGGCTGGATTGGTAAAGCTGGGTGTGCGCTGGGCAGTCTCACAGAGTTGCTGTTCCACTGAGAGGAATTGCTGTGACATTTCCAGGTATACTTTAATACATGTGGCAGGCCTTTGACCTTAATCTTTATCTGGTATCCCCTTGGCGTGGCATGAATGCATGGACCAGCACAAAGTCCTGCCTCAGAGCCATCACAGGTCAGTACAAATGTGAGCAATGCAGCAGAAGAGTTCATGGGCCATGCAAGGGAGCCAGTTTCTAGGGCAGACCAAGCTATGAGAATTCGTAAGATGATTCCTTTAACGAAACATTGCCTGTTGAGGGAACTCAGATGGGATGCGGACAGCTGCGCCCCATGGTTAGATACAGCCTGGAGTTAGGAGCTGGATGCTGCAATTAGGGTAGAACGAAGTGGGGAGCCCAAACAGCCAAAGGATTCATCAGCCCAAAGAAAAACAAGAGCCCAGGCTGAGAGTAGGTCCTGGGATAAGGATGAGTGGGAGCGGGAGCAAAGCAAAGACAAGAAATGACATGCCCAAGCTCACCCGTCAGTTTTGCTACTCAACCAGAACAAAGAGCCAGCTCTTTGAAATCCCAGCCCTGCACTTCAATAGTAAGACATGAGGCTTTAGCTTGTCAGGAAGAAAACCGCCACACATCCCCAACAAAACACACTTGAAATTTTCAAGATTTTGGAATGCAGACTGCAAGATTGGTGCAGAAGGAGACTGATTTAGGGAGGAAGCCAAAGCTGGGCAAAAAATGAGAAGATGAGGTCTGTCTGGATCTCTGCTACCATTTCTGAGTGGATCTTAGACATACTCGTGTTAAAACAACTCAGATGGGCACATCTGCCTCTCAAATTCTGGTGCCTAAAATGTAGCTTCTGAAGTCACATCATCCCCTCTTGCAGGCCACAGATCAATGCAATATCAGCCCTAGTGTTGCAGGTAAAATGAGGGCTTTGCTAAGCCACAACCTTGTTGGGGCAGACAGTCTGTCCGTGCAAACCTTGCTTCTCTTCATCAGAGTGGAAACACCACTTGATATCAAGGCATCAGTCCAGAAGAGCAACACCATGGATATCTTCAGATCTGCCTGTAAAGGCACTACCTCCAGGATATTCCAAAAGCAAATGCTGCACAAGGAAAATCAGAGATTTTTGATCTCCCCTGATTTCCCCTGCCCCCATTTAAATTTTCATCTCATCCCAATACGCCTCTCGGGTCGATGAAGGTGAAGGAGCAAAGGGCGGGTGCAACTGGTAGAGAACTGGGGTGAACCAGACCATTGACCTCCCTTTCCACTGCTGTGGACAAATCAGATAATTCACTTTATTTTGTGCTGGAAGCTGGCATACGCTAGCCAAACTCCCCGTGTCTCAACTGGGTGAACTGTGTCTCCCTTAGCCTCTCCAGGACCATCCATGAGCGTAAGTCCACCTCAGCTGTGTCCTACTGCCAGTGAGTTTATTTGCATGGCAGAAAGTGATGCCTGAGGACCTGCAGTGAGGTTTTTTATGGCTAATTTCAAAGTTTAACTTATGATTTAATGGCTTCTGGATGAGCTTTAAAGCAAAGCCCACAAAAGGTGTATCATAGCCTTCTGGGGAGGAATTGGAACTCATCCCAGGAAACCTCATGGTGAGTTTTACCGTAAGGAACAGGTAATCTTTTATGACATTTAATAAGAAAGACCAAAGGGGTTCCAATAAATTATTCTCAAGGTTGCCGTAGAAAGTGCTGCAATTGCCATGAGCTATTTATGTGGCTGTAATGATTATATGTTATCTATATTCTGTAAATTATTTTTGGCCATAGAATCTTAGAATCACAGGTTGGAAAAGACCTCCAAGATCATCAAGTCCAACCATCCACCCAACACCACCATGCTAAACCATGTCCCCAAGGGCCACATCTACATGGTTTGTGAACCCCTCCAGGGATGGGGACTCCACCACCTCCCTGGGCAGCCTGGTCCAAGGCCTGACCACTCTTTCAGTAGAGAAATTTTTCCTAATATCCAATGTAAACCTCCCCTGACGCAACTTGATGCCATTGCCTCTCATCCTATTGCTCGTTACCTGGAAGAAGAGACCAACACCCGCCTCACTACACCCTCCTTTCAGGTAGTTGTAGAGAGCAATAAGGTCCCCCCTCAGCCTGCTCTTCTCCAGAGTGAACAACTCCAGCTCCCTCAGCCGCTTCTCATCAGACTTGTTCTCCAGACCCCTCCCCAGCCTCGCTGCCCTTCTCTGGACACGCTCCCGCCCCTCAGTGTCCTTCCTGGAGTGAGGGGCCCAGAACTGAGCAAAGCACTCCAGGTTCCGCCTCACCAGTGCGATTTTTGCCCAGGGCCGGGACCCCCCCCCGCCTCCTGCTGGCCACACCATTCCTGATCCAAGCCAGGATGCCATTGGCCTTCTTGGCTACCTTGGCACACTGCTGGCTCATATTCAGCCGGCTGTCGACCAATATCCCCAGGTCCTTTTCCGCTGGGCAGCTCTCCAGCCACTCCTCCCCCAGCCTGTAGGGTTGCATGGGGGTGGTGTGA